ATTGCACAAAAAAGAGAACATGTAAGAAATGCAAAAGGCCACACCCCACTCTACTCCATATAGAAGCTTCTCCCTTGACAAAGAAAGTGGTACCGTTAACAGAGAAACGAGTGGCAACGATAGAGTCTAATCTTGAAAACGATATCCTCTTGCAGACCATTCTCCCTGTGGTAGTGACACAAAGGCACCAACAAGCCAGTGAAGACGTATGCATTCTACAATAATGGAAGCACAGGATGCTTAATCACTGATCATCTCAGGGCGTCTTGCAGCAAAAAGTACGGTTACAAATATTCAATTAGGAACCATGCACGGCCAGAGCCGTGTAGACAGCGCCATTGTCAAAGATATTGTAACTGACTTGAAAGGCAAGAATCCTGTTTAACTTCCGACAGCCTACGCAAGACAAGAGATTCCTGCCAACACCGAACAGATTCCTACTCCACAAATCGTCAGCCATATGGAACACCTAAAGGACATTTCTTCTGAAATCCCAGATGATCCTGAGTTAGAAATCCGGCTTCTAGTCAGAACAGTCCAAATGTGCTAATCCCACTCAGTGTAGTTCCAAACGAAGGTGATGGACCTTTGAAGCATGGCTAGATGGTCAGCGGTCCACTACATTTGACTTCTGAGCCTTTTACCAACAAAGTAACTGTAAACAGAATAACCATTAGACAAATTGAAAGTGTTAAAGAAATTATCACCCCTAAATCACTACTAAAGATGTTCCAGCTTGCCTTCAGTGAAAATGCCTCGAACCACCCTGCAGAAGAACTGGGCCATTCTCAAGAAGATAGAAGATTTGTTACGAAAGTATCCAAAGGTATCTGGCTCACAGAAGGTCACTAAGAAATTCCTCTTCCATTCCAACAATCTGAAGTGGATCAACCAAACAACCAACAACAAGCTGTCAAACTAGTGCTCTGGCAAAGAAAGAAACATTGGAACGACTAAATAGCCTTTATCAACGAAATCATCAATAAAGGTTATGCAGAGAAGGTCCCTTAAGAAATCTTAAAAACATATCCTTGTAAGGCGTGGTACATTCCCCATCATGATGTGTATCATCCTAAAAAGCCTGACAAGATCAGAGTTGTTTTCAATTGCAATGCCAAGTTTGCTGGAACGTCCCTCAATGACCAACTATTTCAAGGGCCTGATCTCACAAATTTATTGGTCGGCATTCTACCTTGTTTTAGACAAGAGCCAGCGGCCTTTATGGCTGATATCAAAGCCATGTTCTACCAAGTCTTTGTTCCTGAGAAACAACACGAGTTCTTACGTTTCCTATGGTGGCCAAATGGAGACCTGATGGCTCAACTTGAGGAGTACCGAATGACCATTCACCCCTTCAGAGCTGTTTCGTCACCGAGCTGCTCTAAGTACGCCCTGCAAAAGACAGCAAACGATTATGAAGAAGAATACGTAAGTGCCGTTGCAAGTAGAGTGCACCAAAATTTCTACGTGGACGACTGCCTCCGTATTGTTAGGACCAAGGTTAAAGCCAAGGAATATGTAAATATGTGCAAAAGGTAGATTTCGCCTCACTAAGTTCATCTGCAACCAAAGGAGTATCCTTGAGTCCATTCCCAAGGAAGAACGTTCCAAAGATGTGAAAACAGACCTAAATTATGATGAGCTGCCTATTGAACGTGCTCTTGGTGTACAGTGGTGCGTTAAGTCCGACACCTTCCGAATTCACATTACTATCAAGGATAAACCTCTAACGAGAAGAGGAATACTTTCAATCGAATCATCAACTTATGATCCCCTAGGATTTGCTGCTCCATCTACATTCAAAGCTAAGAAGTTACTTCAAGACGTTTATGAAGACGAAAAGGTAGGATGGGACGACAAACTCCCTGAATCCTACCAAAACTGTTGGGAAAATTGGAGAAATGAGTTGCCTATGCTCAAACGCATACTTGTCCCTCATTGTGTGAAGCCAATAGACTTTGGAGAAATGAAGTCCAGAGAAGTACACATATTTTCTGACACAAGCTGCGTAGGCTATGGCTCAGTGGCATACCTACATCTTTGTGACAACGAAGATCGCATACACTGCTCTTTCCTAATGGGAAAAGCTCGCGTCGTGCCAATCAAAGCAGTAACAAGTCCACGCCTGCAACTAACTTTGCCACCATCTCCGTTTCCCTTGGGGAGATCCTTCAGAAGGAACTAGTTAGAAGAAGCAGAGCAACCAATAATTCATTTCCCACAGTCCTAAAGCTTTGATAACGAGTTGAAGAGCCTCGACCAAACAAGCTGTGATGAGCCTGGTCATGAACAGACACCCCTTCAGAAGAGAAAGAACAAAGTAACAAACATCAGCTCCCTTTATTGCCTTAACCCGTTTGTTGATGGAGGTCTCCTCCGAGTCGGCGGCCGGTTGACTTGTGCTGACATACCAGAAGTCCGCGACAACACTGATCATGTCTCGCACAAGCAACTCGGCCACACAGGACATGGACATGTCCTCATAAAACTAAGCGGAAGGTACTCGATTATTAAAGCTAACTCCGCAGTTCATCTGCTGATTTCCTCATGTGTGATATGCTGAAGAATTAAGTCCACCCCTCAAGACCAGAAAATGGCTGATCTGCCTAAGGACCGATTGACCCCAGCACCCCCCTTCACTTACGTCGGAGTAGACTATTTTGGACCATGCAAAACGACTGAAGGTCGTAAGGAACACAAAAGATATGGGGCACTGTTTACGTGCCTTGTAAGCAGCGCTGTTCACATTGAAGTCGCCCATTCCCTTGATACAGACTCCTTCCTTCATGCACTTTGCCGCTTCATCACCTGTTGCAATCAGGTACACGAAATAAGAAGTGTCGATGGGACCAATTTTGTTAGTGCAAGATGAGAGCTTCGCGAGGCTGTCAACAAGATGGATAAGAAAGTCATTACAGAAAAACTTTGCCAGCAGAACATTGACTGGAAATTCAATCCCCCTGCTGCAAGTCATATGGGCAAAGTCTGGGAAAGACAAATACGGACCGCAAGTGGAATTCTTGATACTCTACTACATGAGCATAGAAGTCATTTACATGATGAATTGTTACAGACCCTTATGTGTGAAGTTGAATCTATCATCAACTCAAGACCTGTGACTGTTATCTCCAGCGATGGAGATTACAATGAAGACAAGCATTGTCCTGCCACCGGGTGGCAAGTTCTAATGCAATGATGTCTACATGCGCCAATGTTGGCCTTGTGTTCAGTACCTCTGCAACCTGTTTTGGTTGCGATGGAAACGGGAATACTTACCAACGCTTTAGGAGAGGGCCAAGTGAAACAAAGTAAAGTGCAACCTGAAGGTTGACAACCTCGTTCTAGTTACAGATGAAAAGGCACCTCGCAATGTTTGGCCTATGGGCGTGGTAACCAGAGTAGAGCCAGATTCTAAAGGTTTTGTCAGAAGTGTCGTCCTTAGAACGTATACAATGGACCTGCATAGACCAGTTAACAAGCTAATCCTCATGCTGACAGCAGAGGAACGGATAAATACTACTCAGGACACGGAAGAAATTGCTGACAAGCTCACACAGACAGTAAAGAAATGAACATCACTTGAACATTGAATGCACGATTAAGTTTAATCCACAAACTGAATTTATGTTTTAGTTAAACTGTTTGCTTAGTTTTCTGTTTATCCTGAGTTATCTAGTGTTAAACAACTTGCAGTGTTTAAGGGACCGGGAATGTTAGTTCCAAATATTTAGAACTATTACTAGAGAACTATTATAGAACTTTTTCAGTTCTAGTCAGTGTGTCATCGTGTTAAAGTCAAAGTAAGGCTCAACGTCAACGCAGTGAAATCCCTAACGCAGATACTTTTCGCTTTATTTATCTTTAGTTTTCAAAACTGCTTTGTACAGTGCTTTTTTTGTGTACACCGCCCATTTATCGCTTCGCTACACATCACTTTTTTTTTCAACATTGTTAACGTCTCATCGCTTTGCTTCAATAAACTTTATTTACTTCCTTATTGTCGTGAGCATCATTATTGTGGCAAAAGTTCTTAAAGTGCATCAAGAATTTTCTGTCCTAACTTGGAATTAAACTATCGTCCTGCGAGTAATGTTCTGCACTCACACAGATATTCCTTAACAGTATTAGCTGTGTTTGATTCAGCAATAGACTACACTTTCTATGGGTTTACCAATCAGGATAAAAATTTTGAACCTGTTGGCATTCAATTAGTTTTCTTTTGTATACAACCAGTTCAGTACGTTTAACCTAACTAACAACTATATATCTCTGCCTGATCATTGTCATCTCCCCTTTTAATTGTGTGTAATACTTGTGTGAAGGTCTCAAACATACTTGTACTTTATGCTCACCGTATATCTATTGTTGCATTGTGGCAAACTAAGTTATGGGATGAATCCACGACAGTCCTGCCAAAAGACATGCAGGAAGGGTTGGTGATGCCGTCACCACCACCATGCAGGGAACATGTCAAACTGTGAAATTTCACACACGGCACCCAAATTAAAATTAGAAGGCTGCAAAGGATCACAATTGACCCCAATTGCTAAAACCTTCTGGGATAAGAAGAATGCACTCATATTTGCAAGATGCATTCATTATATACGCAGTGAGAATATATGTAGATCATTTATTTTAACCAAAACATTATATGGCTTGCACCATCAATTACTGATTCATTGTGGATTGTACATGAGCATTTGATTTCGACTGGGGAACTACCATAGCACTTGCATGTTAAGAGAGTATCAGGGCTGGCACTTACATATGGCTTAGTTTGGTGTACAAACAACCCAGGTTTCTTTTTTTTGATTTCTCTCCTTCGAAATCAACATCCTTTACAGCTTCATTTGCATAAAAGGATTTTAGTGCATCTTCTCCATTTCCCTGTCCCCATCTAATTGCAGGTAAATGGTTAAGATCCTCATCTCGATCTATAAGTTTTGAAACAAGAGGAGTGGTCCTTGGTTCAATGTGACTCCTTTTGTTGACAACTAAATTCACGTTTGTGTATACATCATGGAATTTTGACGCTGTTGAACGTCCCTTACATAATTCGCACCGAAGGTGGTTGTCAGCTCGTCCTTTGGTGTATTTTTCAATGTACTTTTATTCCATTCACATGACATAAAGCTGCATCCTGAGTGTGTGAACAAGTTAGATACAGCATATTCGTACATGTAGAGTGTTGCAATTACATGATTACAACACTTCCTGGTCCCAACAACGCATGAGCACCAAACTGTACAAATATCCATAGTCACTGTGTCAATTGCAAACCACAGGTCTTTTTCATGTCTGACAGCTTGAGAAGAGGTGACTGCAGAACAGGAAACAAAGGCTGGTGCTAACTTCTGCACTGTAAAAGTACCAATAGTGTCCACAAAGCCAATTTATAATAATAATAATAAATTTTCCGAAATAGGAATGTTTTTAGGGCAGATTTAAAGGACGAAAGGGAAGCTGCATTGTCAAAAGAATCAGGAAGAGTATTCCTTAATGTAGGTGCACAGAAGGAAAACGCACGTTCACCGTATGTCACAGAATTCATACTGGGGACAGTAAGAAGTGATTTGGAGGATGAGCATAGACTACGTGGTGGACGATATTCTTGTAGCAGGGACGACAAATAGGCCAGAGAAAGTCCATGATGAATCTTGAAAGTAATAAGAATAACTTTGAATATTATACGCGATTCAACCGGCAGCCAGTGTAGTTTCTGCAGAGCAGGTTTAATGTGATCGTATTGTTTAGTTTCAGTAATAAGGTGTGCTGCAGTGTTGTTTTGGAAGACCATAAAGGATACTGTTACAGTAGTCCAGTCGTGATATTACAAGAGCATTGATTAACAGTTTGAGGTTTTCATTAGTGAGGTATTTACGAGTGCGCCCTATGGACCTGATGGCATTCGTTGTTTTTCTGCATGTCTCATTTATGTGGTATGTCAGTGTTAGATTTTTATCTAAAATAACACCAAGATGACGGACTTTCTCAGTTAGTTCAATGACGGTACTGTCAAAAAAGAGCTTCTCAATGTTAGGTGTCTTGGTAAATCGGGATGTGAATAAAATAACTTCTGTCTTTTCAGCAGTACTTTGTAGCATATTTTGGGTATTCCATCGCATTACATCCTCTATGCAGGTTTGGAGGGCAGTCAGGGATGGGGCCTGATTTGCAAGATCGATAGCTATACATAATTGAGTGTCATCAGCATAAAACAAAGAGTTGAGGTTATGGCGAGCAATAACATCCTGCAGAGGGGCAATATACAGGATAAAAAGTAGGGGTCCAAATTTGGTAATAGGAATATGCCTTTTGTTCTTTCCAATATATTCAGCATAACTCCTTGAGATTTGAAATGTAGCTAAAGTCTTTCTGAGATCCACTGAAGGCCATTTCGTTACATCATCTATAAGGCTGTCTCTTGACACATGGAGGGGATCTTTTCTAATGTTGTCTTTTGTTTGTTTAGTTTTGTACTTATCTCCTCTTCTGTGTAAATTATTGGGGTCTTTGATACCAAATAAGGCAACAAGCTTGATCTTTCTACCAGAGGTTGAGAGCCCTCTTAATGCCAGATAATCGACTAAATCACCTCTACCCATCTCTGAAAAATCTTTATTTGCTGACGGATGAGCCATGAAGTTCTTCGACAATGTAACTGTTCCTAGTCAAGGAGAACAAAAACCTCAAAACGGTAACCTCAAAACACTGAAACCTACTTAACACAGAACAGCTAATCCCGATATAGCCAAGGGATATATTTTAACCTACTGAGGCACGCTAAAACTCAAAAAATCCACATCTACTTTACCCTACCCCTATTTATTGGAAATTTACTTGAATTAAAATTCACATGGATGGAAGGCCATTTTATTACCCTTGAGAAATATCGAGTTATAATACCATGACCTACTGAGCATTCCCTGGGTACATAATCATGCAAAAGGCTATTCTGACGTTAAAGCTCTTATGCTGGGGTTCCAGAGATGCTACTCACTAGAAAATAAATTATAGGTCCTTCACTGGACACATTTCACTTGGTTAGATGAACAAAATTACATACAAGCCTTGGTGTCCCACAAGGCAGGGGTATTAGCTGCTTTTTAGAACAGAAAGTAACTGTAAGAGAATTAATATTGTTTACACATTGTTAAGTCTGCGACAGAGATGTACCGGTAATAAAGGGGAATTTCCATAATTATTACAGGTAACATTCTACAGATCACTTATACAAGTCACTTTTCTATTGATTGGCAACCAAACCAAAAAACGACCTTGATCAATTAAATCACATTTTGGTTTGTAAGTGGGTTGGTCCTTTATTTATCCACAGCATGGCCACCTGTCCTCTGAACCGGCTCTGAAATGAACCTGTAGCTCCAGCTATCAATCATTCCCTGCAAGCTCTTCAGACTTCTCAGTTTACCAGGATCCACAGGAAAAAATATTGTGTACTTTTTGTTACTAGATCTTTTGTTGTTGAGAAAATCACTGATGTCACTGTTATGTGTATATGACCAGAGGGTAATAAAATTGTCATAGTTATTTAATCAATCAACCAATATTTCAACTAGACTTGTACAACTATGATCTTCTGAAGGAGCTGTGCCTTTAATATAAATGAAGTATAAACAGCTATAACATTTAAATTTGAATTGGCAGTATTAAGATTACATCTGCTTACAAATGAAAGACACAACAGAGTGGTGAGGAGGATTTTACTGCAATGTTTGTTTACCAGTCTTTCTTTATCTGCTGCGTGAAAATAAATCTCCTGCTTTCATTCTCTGAGGAAGGCACAAATGTACGCTAGTAGAAAAATGATCCCTACATTGCATTCTCAAAGTATGTGCGAGAAGCTGCAAGTGGAAGAAAGGGTACTCGGGGCTCTCATCAAATCTATCTGGCTCTCTCAAAAGTCATTTGTGTTGCACAGCGCTTCTAAAAGTGACTGAGGATAGGAGAGCTTCTCTCGACATAAGAGAGGCTGTTGCAGTAGTGGCTGTTGATTTACGCAAGACATTTGATTCTGTTTGCCATCCACTTTTGTCAGCTAAATTAAAAGCATACAGTTTTACAGATACCGCTTTGGAACTTATGACTGTATATCTTTGAGGAAGAAGAAAGAGTTAAAGTTGATGGTGTTTATTCTTAGTGGAGAGCTATAAGTGCCAGTGTACCACCAGGGTCCTTGTTCGACCCTTTTTTATTCACTTTATATGTGAGCGATCTCAATTTCTTTGTATCTAGTACGTCTTTAAGGCTGTAAGCTAACGATGATACGACTACATATGCCTAGGATTCCTGCCCACTGGTCTTGCAGTATATTATTTATTCTGATCATCGCGTGCTACCCAGGTGGTTTGAAATTAATTATTTAAAGATTAATACAGCAGAAATGCAAGCAGTTGCCATTGGGCTGTCTCAATATGAACATGACTTTCATCTTAATGATAGGAATGTAGAGATGCAAGATACACTTAAGATCCTAGGGGTGATTCTGGATAGCAAACTAAATTTCATTGCAGAGACTCCCCAAGACTCAAAGGATGGAATGGTATGTCCCGTAAAGCATATTGCCTCTTACACCAAGAACATTGTAGTCCTCTTCTGGATATTGGAAATGGCGACGCTAGTAAAATGGAGAAAACTGTTCTTTATTACTATCCATTTTCAACTATTCAAAATCTGTCGTACGAGAACCTTTTAAACATTGCTTATATCCAATCTCTAGATCAACGTCGACACTTTCAATCCCTAATTATACAACCAGGGTAGACCGTATATCAGTGGACTTTTTAGATGTAAGAATGTCCCCTATAATTTACGTGGGCTTGCATAAATCTTTTACTTTTTTTCTTTCTTAACAAACTGTGGAATAGCTTATCACCAATGATTAGAGAATCTTAAGATATAAGAACTCTTAAGAGATCTCTTGAAGCCTTCATGTCTAAAATTCTTCTAATTTCATAAGGATTTTAAATTTTATGTGTAAATGTTTTGTAAAATTTTTCGCGTATTAATGGTGTAGATTGCCAGTTATTACTTGATTAGGTTTTTCTTTCAATTACAATATACAGATTTAGCGAAGCCTAAAAGCGGAGCTCCCGACTTCATAATGATGATGATGATGAAGATCGTTTTATTTACACTGCTGCACAATACAAAATAACCTAATTGTAAATACTGATACCCACCAGTAGGTAACGAGACGTAGTCTACCACGCAGCCAGATTTGTCACAGCTGCGTAGGACACTAGTCAAAGTCGGATATTTTGCCCTTTGGATACAGCATCAAATGTTTTATTCTTCCCATAAAATACATTAGGAAAAGCCTTTGATTATCCCTTTGATTAGAACTCTGGAAACCAAATGTTATGTGACTGACTCGTGTACACAAAAAGTTTTTGTGCCCCACTCGCCCGCCAAAGTGCCCCCCCCCAAAACAAAAAACAGAAATATTTAAGGCAAAAAAAAACTAGAAATATTTAAGGCAAAAATAATATTAAATACATGAAATTTGTCAAACTGAATAATGTGTTTGAGTTTCCCTTTCTATGAACACTGTCCATCCCTTTGGTAAACACATGTGTAGTCTTCTGGTTTCCTAATGCTATGTATAAAATGCCTTGGCTGCATGGTATGAACAGTTCACAAATATGAAAGCAAATTGATTTAATACTACTGTAAGGATCTGGTTCCTAATATGTGAACAGATAAATACCCTCTTTTTCGAGCCTTACCATTGTGAATAGCAAAGAAAGTAAGTTATAATTCACTGGCGACACTAACACTATCAATTATCACATTCATTGAAATTTTCAATGACTGATCTTATACGTATGAGTCGATTGCCTAAAATGACGATCATTAACTATGTTGATGACCAAGTGAATCATTACCGAACCCAAGTTATAGCTTAACATGGAAGTGCTTTTAATGTTCATTGAGCATGAAAGTGCAGTGATGCTTTTTTCTCTGCACAAGGGAACAACATACGACATCTTGTGAGAGTCTTGAAATGGAGGAAGAAGATGCTAAAAACCGAATGACTGTGGTTAGATGGAAACTTCTACAATGTAAACTTTACAGGTATTGGTATGTTATTATACATGTTAGAAATGAGTGGAGAAATCAGAAGTAATATACTCAGCCTTTCCACTTTGGTAGTAAAGGCTATGGAGTTGAATTTTGCTTATTCTGCAATGCAGTGCGGGTCAGTAATTTCAATTTCTGCCAACCATTAGTATACAGACTGTGCATGCTCTTATTTTGAAAACCAAGGATCTCATGCTTGTTACCTGGGATTAAATCTTAGTGTAAATTCTAAAAGTTGCCTCTGTACCTTACATTTGCTTAGAATTGCCAATGCCTAGGAACAGATTCTCATAAGACATGTCTGAATGCTTCCAGCAATACAAAGGAAACATTGGAGCATGTTACTGTAACTGTTTCAGAGTACTTTTAATTGGTATGGGGAGGAAATATTTTACTTATGATATTCTGAACATATCCCCCCACATTTATACCCCTCTTTTGGAGGTGAGCAATAGACCTTGAACTGGAAAATAGGGAGCTGCAAGCTGCAGTCTAGTTTTTCAATCTTTTTTATTTCCTATGTTATTGTTATTACTACTCTTGTTATTATAACTTTTAAACACCTGATTGTTCATGTTGTTATAAAGTGCTAAATTTTATACAAGAAATCCCCACACCAACACTGTGTGGATGTAGTAAAATGGCCTACTAGCTTGCCGAATAAAGTATCCTCATTGCCTTTAATGCTTGATGATCAGTCACCTACGTTTAATTAAAAGCAATTTTACTGTCACGCCAGTAAAATGTAGTTAATGGAACATGATGCTAGTTATCATTAACCCTTTCATGGCGCTTCTTTTTCAATAAAGCGGTTGTGTACTATAGTTGCCAAGGTCAGCAAGCTCTAAGATACATTGTATTCTAGCCTAGAACTTCATGGCCTTGTTATCTTTAGCACGCTAGTACGATCCACAGGATTAGCTAATTTTTTCAAAGCACTATTCATGGCTAAGATTTTGCAGGCTGAGCTGTCTTGTATTACAGCCTTTCCAACTGGCTATGCCAGCAGACATTTGTCTAGCTATAAAAGCATAGAACAACTGTTCAGAGTTCACATGGGTTCTATTGTCCAGTAAGGTTAGCACTCAGCATATTATTCTTGTAAAATTTTTAAAATGACTCTCCCTCATCGTACTATTTTGCACTTGAACTGCGCATCCAGCCGAGGTGAGGAGGGTCTCTCAGCATTGTGAAGTGAAGTGCACAAAACTCTGTCTTCAATCCCTGAACCTCCCCATTACAGGATCCAAAGAGCAGCTGCTAAATCGTCTGAGGTGGGTCTTGCCTGGAAAAGTAGCCACATTGACCACAGCACAACCAAAGCGAGTTACGAAGGCTCAAGCTGGTAAGGGGCACCCTGCAACGAGGACCATCACAGCAAACAGGCACACTCGGAAAGCCTTCCAGTGAACCTGGACAATGTTAATGAAGACAACGCCCCGTCAGACCATGCTTCGTTGTCCTCTATCGAGGAAATGATTGAGTCAGATCCTGAGCCAAACGAGTCCAGCTTCCAACAGAACACTGGCTTCAGCCAATCTCAGCCTTCAGCCATGAAGGCCATTGTGACTGATTTGGTCCACTCTGCAATAACAACGTTTCAAACTTCGCCAGCCGCTCATCTTCCTTCTGCCTTGACTCAAAACCTCTTCACATGTGGCACGGCTTCCCCTCTTCGTCTTTCTACGCCAATAGACATTGACTTTGCCTTACTTTTGCCTAACACACTATACCAGTCCCAGACCCCTGAAATTCAGCTCCGTTTGGATGACTCGTCCTCAGGCCGCATGGGTTCTGTGGTTACCATAGTCAGAAAGAAAAAACCGGTAATTGATATATTTCCCTAGTGGCTCAATGCTTACATGACCTACATATTAATACTTGTGAACGCCTACCCATGACGGCCACTCTAGCTTATAATATACCAGCAAATTATTAGCAGAACAGTTGCTAAATTTAAGGGTTTGGCCTGGCCATCGTATGACCAGCAGTTCCATTGCCGGGTGGCCTATGACTTGTCCCTGGTGGGATAAGGTAGACCTTGAGCTATGGACAGTGACTTTTGCAGGCCTTGCTAAGCCCTACTGCAATGTTTGCTCAAGTCTGTATCACGCTGAGGATGTTTGTCCTGCTGACCTTAACAGAAAATCGTTAAGAAACCGTTAAGAATTTTGCACTTTCTTACTCACAGCAGACCCACCACGTGACTTTGGCACCATGGTGACCCCTCCCCCCACCTTTCCCTGGTCAATGTTGTTTTTGGGGGGAGGGGGGAGTATCTTGAGTGAACCCAGCTTTGGAGGGAAGTATTCTAAAATTAGACATACACCGTGCATTTTTCTTAACATTTGTGTCCACAATTGTATTTTCGAGATTTTGAAGAATATGCCTCACAGTAAATATCTGAAGTGAAAAGGAACTGTTTTTTTTTTCCGGAAATGGAATTAATATAAAATTTGTTAGACAGTACAATGAGCATGAAGATATCCGTAAAGGACAAGACATAAGTACAGTACCTTTCATTCACTTCGTGATTTTCATTCTTTGATCCTAGTAACTAGTGTAGTTACAATGTTTAACTGATTTTCTAACGGTTTTGTTATGGGATCTTTCAGTGTCCCCACTTGGATATAAAAGTGTGCATAAACCTCTTTTCCGTTAGAAACGTCAACTGGGATTCACGTCATTGGTTTGTTCTTATTCTTTGGTACAAGTGGGACCGATATGGTTATCGATTTCTTTTGTTATATTATTTAGTTTCGTTCTTTAGTAGTGGGGGAAGCTACACAAATGTTACTGTATGGCACAGATTTAAGTTTAATTGATGTATAATTGTCTCAAGAGTGAAAAGCAGACTTGAACGCCTGTTAGAGCAACGCCCATAATTTTGCCTGATAGTACAAGGATTAAGCTCATATTTACGGAATTGTCTAATTTCAGTTTATCTAGTTTTTCAAATAGACTTTACCATCTTCTTATCGAAGTAATCATCATAGAATCGCTTTATCACTTACCAATTTCAAGCTTCAGATTGTTGACTATGCGTTGTTTGTCTTAGTATTGCCTTTCTGCCAAACTGATAGAGATTTTCGTATTGCTATTTCAGTTTTTGGTCAATATTTGGTCTATAGATTTTGGTCTTTGATAAAGCCACAAGTGGCACCATTAACGTCTGGGGGAATGAATTTGATCTTTTCTGGAGACGATGTGCATCTATGCAAACAACAACTGCTAAATCAACGTGTTAATCTTATCACTGCCCAAAGAAAAATGACATATCTATGGCCTTCGGAGTAAACCTGATGGAAGTTGCATCACAGAAGGCGACGGAGATGTACATCGAAGCTGCTGTCCAAGAAGGGCTAATGCCTGCTCCCAGCCAGTGTGGTAGGCACTTCAGCATTGCTCCACCTGTAATTGCCGATGCCGTTCTTGGATGGCAGACTCTTGACCTCATCTCTGGGCAACTTTACCAATCCTTTGTAACGGTGTCTGTACCTACAGCCAGAGAACATTCTGTAACGAAATGCCCTTTTCCTTGCCAACTCCCTTGCACCATTTTTCTTCAAAAGGACTGATTACAGATTCCCATAATCAGCCAGATACCATTCGTTTGAAGAACAGACAGTACCAATTGCGAGGCTGTACCCTCTGTAGTGGAACACATACATTGGCTACTTCAGGTTCAAATCTAAGTGGTTCGCATATGATGGTCTATCCGAAAGTAGGTGCCATGGATCCGGAGTTTTATCCTGGCCACTGAAAACCATAAGATCTCTGGTTTTACCCTCCCATTTTGTGTGTACTTCGAGGTTAGCCCAGGTAAGTATGTGCCCTTTTTGAATTCAGTTTCGGATAGCGAAATAGATGTTTTCAAATCAGGCATTTGTCAAGTTTCCTTGGAGGAAATTTGCTGCGTAAAATCAAAGGCAATTAAAAGATGAAAGATTTTTACCCTCTTGTTTTGGCTGTGTTGCCTGAGATGAGATGCGATCAGGTGTGCCGCCTTTGCTTGGTGCATTACAATTTCGACATTTTTCTCCTTCCTTTTTAACATAGTTTTTATTTAGAAGTTTTCCCTGTTTTACTTTCTTTTATGTGAATGAGTACGTCTATATCAACTATAGCATACAAAAGTTGCTAACATCTTTATCTATTTCTATTTTAAACAGATTTTTGAATTGTTAGTTAATAAGGCTAATACATCAACCCTATGAAATTTGTTTTCTCTTTTGCAAGCAATATAGATGGTGATGCTACAGTGCAAGTTCTGCTACTGCAGACACATTTCTCTCGGGTGTGTAAAGTGTATTCCTGAATTATTTTATCATTGTAATACCGTGCCCATTTCGTAAAACTATATAATCATTTGTTTTATAATTAACTACCTTTTAAACTATTTGAAAAATCTCTCGTATGATTAATCAGCAAGCCAGATGGCTAAATCAACTCTTTTCATACCTGTTTACATTTTTTTCCTCTTGTGACACCAGGGACTGTAACTAGGATGTTTTTTCTATTACATCCCTATAAATTTGTCACAATCATGGTCCCTGCTGCATTGCAGTTTTCTAAATGAAAAAGTGCATCTGAAATTTACCACAGCTAGCTCTCAACAACAAATTTGGCCACCATATAGTTTCCAACTCTTGAGTTGACTCTTGTAGGGAAACTTCCAGTGGGGAAGGAACATTACCGAGTGAGGTGATAATCCACTACCACTCTCTTGAAATTCGTACAGCAGATGCTGGAAAAGAAAGTTGGTGTGACAACATCCAGGACGTATAAGATGGGTTAGGATGGGACACTTTTAGCATATTTTCCCTCTCGGGAGTTGAGCTCGTATGAAATCGAGGCGAGTATCAATTACTGATCATTCTTTTACACTTTCATTGAGTGAAGAGGCTTTTCATTTTTATTCGACGCTGTCTGTCTTTATTCGGTAAGTTTTTCCTTATTTTCTTTGTTCTCTGCCTCTTTTGAGGAAAGTTGAGATTATCCTTCGCTTTTGGTTAGGATTGTGCCGTTTTTTCACCATGCCGGGCATATAACTCGCTCTGTTTTGTAAGCTAAAATATGGCGCGTTCGTCACCCGTTGTACTTATCTTAGATCATTCCTTCATTCGTAGGCTGTGTCATGACTTGGAAACTGGTTGTGACCAGCGGGCAGATTTAAATTTTAACCTTAAGGGTACTGCTGTGGTTTTTATGCATGGCGTGGGAGGTCGGACAGTGCCTAAACTTCGCATGTTTGATCTGCACGTGGTCAAAAAGTTGTCTCCGGATATCATAATTCTGGAGATAGGGACAAACGATTTAACTCGTGTCGGTCCTGAAGTGGTGGGTTAAGAAATAGATGATTTTGTTCGTTTCTTGGTGGATAATCTCGCTGTCCACGTGGTCAGCATTTGTCATGTTATCCCACGTGTTTTCTCATGTGCCGTGTCCCAGACTTCATTTCTCACGAGCGCTACTGCTTTGAATCAGTACAGGGACGCCGTTTTAGGAGACCTTCCCAATATTTTTTGCTGGGTGCACACCCCTTTTCGTCCCCCAGTAAGGATTTTTATTTAAATGATGGCGTTCATTTAATTCTGTTGGTCAGTACCAGTTATATCTATTGAGGCGCTATCTTAAGAGCAATTCGCATGCTTTGAATATTTGTCACGTTTTTGCATCTTTACATTTGAATATACCGCTTACTTGAATTTTTGACACCTTTTCATGTCGTCGCATGCGATAATACCGCTTATTTCTTTCATTTTGAGCTTTGCTTTCTTTAAATTTGTAGATTTGTAATGGACACCTTTTTCGTTTCATTTATTCGGGGCTTCTCTCCGGTTTTTGGCTCCCCTTGTTATTGTGTGGACATTTCGTCCCAGTTTGTTACGATGGGTTCACATATATAAGGTTTTACCTTGTGCTTCCCTTGTCACGTTTGAGCTTTTTAGCTCAGTTTTACTTGTTAAGGAATTTACTGTTAACTTCTTGTGTTTGAGGAACCTTTATTTGTTTTATTTTACTTTGGCCATTTTTTGTGGGCTTGCTGGTGCGTCGACTTCTTATCTGACATGGCATGACCCAGCCTGTTTGTTTTATTTTAAGGTGTTCATGTCTTCTAAATGTTAATTGGTCTTTATTAGCTGTCTATTTCCATGATTCCTCCCCTTTTTCTTCTCCATTTGTTTGCAGATAATGCCTCCTAAGAGAGCCAACTCTGCCTCCACTGTTGCTGCCCCAGCTAGAAAGCGATCCCGCTGAGTCAAATCCAGTCAAGGCTCAAGCAGGAGTTGTTCAGCAGACGCAGCCTCAAGAGGTCTCGGCCTAGGTCTTACCTCAGGCTCTTCTGGAGCAGATCGTCAGTTGGGTGTCTGATGAGGTTACAAGACGGCTCTCATCAACAAGTGGAGACCAGAACGCCAATGATCACCAGATTCCTGACCAGATTTCTGACGTGCCTGTTACTGGCGAAGCAGCTGGAGCTGACCAGATATCAGAGGTGCCTGCGGTTGGAATTCCTGCAGATAGTCCTGGTCAATCAGTGATACACGGAGCTGTTAGCCAATTTCAGGAGAGGCTGTTAGGTGATTTACCAACCATAACCCCTCCATTGCCTAGCACCCTGTTTACTTCACCAAGTCTACCCATTGATGCTCGTGTGTCTACTAAGCTGCGAGCGAAGATTCTGAAAAATGAGTTTATTGACTTTGGGGCTTTGGCCACCAACCCTACTTTAGAAAGCAAATATCAAGTTGTTTTACAAAATGAAGGTGGCACTCAGCCTCCATCACTAGCCTTAGAACCGGTCACTAAGACCAGAAAGCTTTTGACCATCTCGTCATGGACGAGTAGCTTTATGGTATTTGTCGGGGTATATACTAGCCAATTTCCTTCAGAGGCCCCCGCCCTCATGAAGTATGGGGAGATTGTGCAGGATTTGGCTGCGTGGGGACACGATTGGCATTATTACGATCAGAATTTTCGTTATTTACGGCAAAATCAGCCATCAGCTTTTCCTTGGGGAGTCATCCATTGGGAATTGTGGATGCGATCACAGCAACCCGTTAGTTACCAAAACACTCTCTTCCTGGGAACTCCTTTCGGTCACGCCTTTCGGAGTCCAGCATTGTCCCTAAAGGTTATTGCTTTAAATTTCACTAGGGGGCTCAGTGTGCTGGATGTTCCTTTAAGCATTCCTGCCCCAAGTGTGAGGGTGCCCATCGAATGAGTATTTGTACTTTTCGTTCCCAATCAAAGCAATCACCAAGAACGACTACCAATGCCAAATCCTCAGGAGCCAAATCCTCACCTCCCAACCCCAGTAAAGTTTAGTAGGCTTTTGTATCTCTTCTCCAGGTATAACCATTCAACTGTGATGTTTCTTTCTGATGGATTTACACATGGTTTTCCCCTTCATTTTCAAGGGATCCAGGAGTCCTCGCACGCCAAAAATCTTTTATCAGCTGTACAGAATCCAACCATTGTTGATGCAACTGGCCGTTTAGCCGGTCCCTTCGATTCTCCCCCAATATCCCCCTTTGTTGTTTCCCCACTTGGCGTGGTCCCCAAAAATCACCTGGGGAGTTTCGGCTTATTCATCATTTGTCTTTCCCTAAGGGTGCTTCTGTAAATGACGGGATTTCTTAGAAAACAGTACTGTTTGTTATGCGACTATTGGAGATGCCATAAGATGCATCAAATTGGCTGGTCAGGCAGTTACTTAGCAAAAACTGATATCCAAAATGCATTTTGGATAATCCCGATACAGTCAGATGACTATGGCCTTTTAGGTATGCACTGGCAGGGTTCTTTTTATTTTGATTGCTCCATGCCTATGGGTTGTGCAAGTTCTTGTAGAATATTTGAAATTTTTTGCACCACAGTTGAATGGGTTGCCTGGCACAAATTGAAAATAGACCATATTATCCATCTGTTGGATGATTTCCTAATTGTTGCTCCAGATAGGCAGCTCTGTCAAGCTCAACTGGATTTGTTTGTTGATCTGTGCTCTTACATTGGCATCCCTATAGCAACGGAAAAAACTTTTGGGCCTTTAACAACATTATCTTTTGCTGGAATTGAATTAGATTCTGTGCTAATGGAGACTCGTTTGCCTCCTGATAAGCTTTATAAATGTTCCGCTCTGCTTTCGGATTTTTTACATCGGAAGAAGGCCACCTTGATGGTGGTGCAATCCTTAACCGGCCTATTAAATTTTGCTTGTTCTGTTATAGTACCAGGCAGTGCCTTTTTGCGTTGATTGATTGATCTAACAGTGGGTATTCAATCCCCACACCATCTTATTCGACTTTCAAAAGATGTAAAAGAAGATTTAAAAGTTTGGCAATCATTTTTATCTAATTTCAATGGCCGATCCTTTTTCCTGGAATGCCTGTTTGTTTTATTTTAAGGTGTTCATGTCTTCTAAATGTTAATTGGTCTTTATTAGCTGTCTATTTCCATGATTCCTCCCCTTTTTCTTCTCCATTTGTTTGCAGATAATGCCTCCTAAGAGAGCCAACTCTGCCTCCACTGTTGCTGCCCCAGCTAGAAAGCGATCCCGCTGAGTCAAATCCAGTCAAGGCTCAAGCAGGAGTTGTTCAGCAGACGCAGCCTCAAGAGGTCTCGGCCTAGGTCTTACCTCAGGCTCTTCTGGAGCAGATCGTCAGTTGGGTGTCTGATGAGGTTACAAGACGGCTCTCATCAACAAGTGGAGACCAGAACGCCAATGATCACCAGATTCCTGACCAGATTTCTGACGTGCCTGTTACTGGCGAAGCAGCTGGAGCTGACCAGATATCAGAGGTGCCTGCGGTTGGAATTCCTGCAGATAGTCCTGGTCAATCAGTGATACACGGAGCTGTTAGCCAATTTCAGGAGAGGCTGTTAGGTGATTTACCAACCATAACCCCTCCATTGCCTAGCACCCTGTTTACTTCACCAAGTCTACCCATTGATGCTCGTGTGTCTACTAAGCTGCGAGCGAAGATTCTGAAAAATGAGTTTATTGACTTTGGGGCTTTGGCCACCAACCCTACTTTAGAAAGCAAATATCAAGTTGTTTTACAAAATGAAGGTGGCACTCAGCCTCCATCACTAGCCTTAGAACCGGTCACTAAGACCAGAAAGCTTTTGACCATCTCGTCATGGACGAGTAGCTTTATGGTATTTGTCGGGGTATATACTAGCCAATTTCCTTCAGAGGCCCCCGCCCTCATGAAGTATGGGGAGATTGTGCAGGATTTGGCTGCGTGGGGACACGATTGGCATTATTACGATCAGAATTTTCGTTATTTACGGCAAAATCAGCCATCAGCTTTTCCTTGGGGAGTCATCCATTGGGAATTGTGGATGCGATCACAGCAACCCGTTAGTTACCAAAACACTCTCTTCCTGGGAACTCCTTTCGGTCACGCCTTTCGGAGTCCAGCATTGTCCCTAAAGGTTATTGCTTTAAATTTCACTAGGGGGCTCAGTGTGCTGGATGTTCCTTTAAGCATTCCTGCCCCAAGTGTGAGGGTGCCCATCGAATGAGTATTTGTACTTTTCGTTCCCAATCAAAGCAATCACCAAGAACGACTACCAATGCCAAATCCTCAGGAGCCAAATCCTCACCTCCCAACCCCAGTAAAGTTTAGTAGGCTTTTGTATCTCTTCTCCAGGTATAACCATTCAACTGTGATGTTTCTTTCTGATGGATTTACACATGGTTTTCCCCTTCATTTTCAAGGGATCCAGGAGTCCTCGCACGCCAAAAATCTTTTATCAGCTGTACAGAATCCAACCATTGTTGATGCAACTGGCCGTTTAGCCGGTCCCTTCGATTCTCCCCCAATATCCCCCTTTGTTGTTTCCCCACTTGGCGTGGTCCCCAAAAATCACCTGGGGAGTTTCGGCTTATTCATCATTTGTCTTTCCCTAAGGGTGCTTCTGTAAATGACGGGATTTCTTAGAAAACAGTACTGTTTGTTATGCGACTATTGGAGATGCCATAAGATGCATCAAATTGGCTGGTCAGGCAGTTACTTAGCAAAAACTGATATCCAAAATGCATTTTGGATAATCCCGATACAGTCAGATGACTATGGCCTTTTAGGTATGCACTGGCAGGGTTCTTTTTATTTTGATTGCTCCATGCCTATGGGTTGTGCAAGTTCTTGTAGAATATTTGAAATTTTTTGCACCACAGTTGAATGGGTTGCCTGGCACAAATTGAAAATAGACCATATTATCCATCTGTTGGATGATTTCCTAATTGTTGCTCCAGATAGGCAGCTCTGTCAAGCTCAACTGGATTTGTTTGTTGATCTGTGCTCTTACATTGGCATCCCTATAGCAACGGAAAAAACTTTTGGGCCTTTAACAACATTATCTTTTGCTGGAATTGAATTAGATTCTGTGCTAATGGAGACTCGTTTGCCTCCTGATAAGCTTTATAAATGTTCCGCTCTGCTTTCGGATTTTTTACATCGGAAGAAGGCCACCTTGATGGTGGTGCAATCCTTAACCGGCCTATTAAATTTTGCTTGTTCTGTTATAGTACCAGGCAGTGCCTTTTTGCGTTGATTGATTGATCTAACAGTGGGTATTCAATCCCCACACCATCTTATTCGACTTTCAAAAGATGTAAAAGAAGATTTAAAAGTTTGGCAATCATTTTTATCTAATTTCAATGGCCGATCCTTTTTCCTGGAAGAAACTTGTTACTCTTCTTTTAAACTTGACTTGTATACTGATGCCTCGGGTGCATTAGGATTCGGTGCTATTTTTGGTAGTAGGTGGTGTTATGGGAAATGGCCCGCAACTTGGTCCTATTGTAACATTGCCATATTAGAATTTTACCCTATTGTATTAAGCCTGTACTTGTGGGGTCATGTGATGCGTAACCGCTGTATTCTTTTCTTTACTGACAATGAATCTCTAGTCCACGTGATCAATAAGCAGTCAAGTAAGGACAAATCCTTGATGTTTTTCAAGCAAATTGAAAAGCATATTGCTGGTGTCAAGAACCGCTTAGCCAATTCTGTATCTCGGTTACAGGTTCAGTCCTTCAAACAATTGGCTCCTGCTCACATGGACAAGCTTCCAACAGAGACCCCCTGCATCTGCAGCCCCAGAGTTGGCAGCCATAGTTGCAACACTTATGCAGTCTAGTTTGCAATCATCCTCCCTTCCAATTTACCAGCGGGCATGGAACTTGTTTCACCGTTTTACTCGTTTGACCTTTCCAGGGTTACCTTTGCAATTTCCCATATCTATACCAATGTTTTGATTATTTATTGCTTATCTATAAGACCTCAAGTATACTGCTTCAACAGTCAATACTTATGTTTCGGCTCTAAGCTATTCGCACAAACTTTCAGGTTATCCTGACCCATCTAAAGCTTTTGTTGTGCTCCAGATGCTTAAGGGCTATGGGAAGCTGCATGCTCGTTTAGACAGCAGGCTTCCTATTACAATTCCCATCCTGCATATGTTGTTGCAATCTGCTTCGTTTTTACCATTGTCAAAATACCAGATTCTTACGTTTCAGGCCATGTGCAGTACTGCATTTTTTGGCTTTTTAAGGGTGGGTGAGATCACCTTCTCCACTACGACTCCTCCGCCCATACAAATCCATCAGTTGACCAAACTAGTCAACGGTGCACATGAGGTCATCAGTTTCAAAATTAAATTTTTGAATTTCAAGCACAGCTATAACCAGCCCCCCTTTCATTTAGTTATTTCACCCCAAACTACTTTTTGCCCTGTCAAAATTTTGTTGCAATTTTTATCAGCAAGGGATAATAGTCAGGGTGCACTTTTTATTCAGGATGATGGGTCACCTGTGTCAAGATCTTGGTTCAGTGCCCAGCTTTCCTCTGCCATTAAGCTTTGCGGTCTTAATCCTTCTGTCTACAAAGGGCATAGTTTCCGGATAGGGGCTGCCTCTCATGCTGCAGTGCGGGAGATGTCTGACACACAGATTAGAATTCTAGGTCGCTGGAAATCCAATGCTTTTTTGAAGTATATTAGGGTCCCTTGTTTCTCAAGCTAGCTCCATAATATTCTCCTTTTGAGGATGGTCATGATGACTAGTCATGGATTTCCTTGCGTGGGCAGCATTTTCTTAAATTTCCATATTATTTGCTGAAGTTAAATAGGCGAAGCCACTCTCTACCGTTTTAAGGTCAATGCTCACTATTATTATTTTCTTGGAGTACTTGCAAGGGCTGCACTTTCCTAGTTGCTTGGCCGTCCATTTGCAAGGGCTTTGGACGGTCATGCTTGTCAAATTTCTTTTGTTGCATTGTAGCTGCTTAGTGTTTTTACGTTTTCATAAGTAATTGTTAAGTAATCCTCTACAACTGACGGGGAGTTGTACAGGATTGCTTTTTGGAGATGCAGGCAGGGGCTGCATTTCCCTAGCTTTGGTCTATTCATTGTGCAAGGGCCATGTTTGACCATGCTTTTTGTAATTCGTCACCACTGTTACCTTTCATTCTAATGAGATGCATTTCGCGGGGTGGGGCTGCAATGTCATTTCCATTCCATTGCATTTGGCGTTTTTTGTGCCCTCACCTTTACTGGGCTGATATTTAAAGTATGTTTTTCAGACAATAGAATGTTGATATTGAAATAATCCGCCGAAACCCGAAAACGGGAATCGGTAAAATGAGGTATACCACATAGAGAATGATAATGAGCCCAGTAAACGAGCTCAGGCAATGCATCTCATTAATTGATATGTTTGAGAGGGAAGGAAGGCATAAAGTATATTGTGAATGAATTTTTACCAAACGAGTAACTTTTATATCGTAATTTCAAGTACATTCACCTTCAATGAACTTTGCTTTACTTTTCGCAATTTCTATTTAAGCACAGATGCGAGATTCCTTAACCATTAAGGAAAAGGTGTTATCATCACTCAGAGACCTTCTCTAGCAGCTGGTAGAAAACACTTCAGTATGGTTTAAGTTATTGGTTGCAATTTCTAGAACATACCGTATTGCAATAGATTTAAATTACATACCACTTATGCCACCATATCTTCCTTTTTTGATATCAAGAGCTTCAGCCATTGTAACTGTGGTAAGAAGACTACGTATTCCCCACCCCTTATGGGTGTTTATAGTGCTTGAGGAAGGGACGTATAGAGTGACTGGCGTCATGCGCTACAATGGAAGCTCATGGTGTGTCACTGTGAAAGAGTCCAAATGGAATGACTTATACAAGGTAAAGAAGGAGGCAGGAGTAATAGAACAAATGCAATGTCAACATCATGCAAACTTGCCATTTCTTCTGGCCATTTGCACCAGAGAAAAATCGTATCTACCAGTAACTCAGTTTTATGGAGCAGGCAATAAGTCATTGAAACTCTCATTATAGACATAAATGATCTAGGCAAAATTCTCAAATTGATTGTTGGTGCTCTCCAGTACGTACATGAAGCTGGTTGGCTCCACAATGACATGCAAGAAAATTGTCATTATGCATAAATCAGCCATGGGGTTGAAACCAGTTTTAATTGATTTTGGAAAAGCCAGGCCGCGAGGGTACCAGAGGGTATTGCAGGAAAACACACCCTCGGTCTCAAGAAAGTGATATATTCTCTTAAGGGATACTTGCAAACGTATGTTAGGCAAATTTGCTCAGCAGGGAGTTAAGTAAAAAAATTTTCATGTTAAGGAATTTTTTAGTTAAAAAGTGACTACATTCTACGGTCACTCTTGCTTTATATCCCCAGCTGCTGTTATAATAAGAGGGATGAAATGTTAACCGCATTAGTTGTAAAAAAAGAAGGAATATCTCGTGAATGTAAGCTAAAATATAAATTAATTACTTTAAGAACTAGGTACTACTTGACAAATTTTAAAATATGTTTTTTTTGGCTGCAGTTATGAAGTTACTCACAGACGGATCGATCCTGGCATTCCTCACACCGTTCTGTGCTATACCCAAGTCTCTAGTTTGCCAATTCGTTGAATTAGAAATCTTATTAGTTACTTTTTACTCCAGTATCCTTCAGCAGGATTGATGCGAAGGAAATAAACAAAAAAAACTGTTACAAAAGCCAACTCAAGCATTTTAAAAAGAGTGACTCAACAGTAATTGTCCTCCTAATCACTGTACTCCATCTTGTCAAAATTAACATGAACACATCTTTGCAGGTTGAATTTATATTCTGTAGTTAAAGTGTACTGCCTCTTGTTTCTTAAAGCCATTTAAACTTGACAGTGCATTAGTTTGATACTATAATGCTGTGACATCGTTCCACTGTGTGCCAGCTAAGGTTTTTTATTTATTGGCATGTTAATTCATTGAACGAGACAAAATATACAAGTGCTGACAGAATACCTCAGCATGTTGAAATAAAACCCGACGCCGGGTGAAGTCGAGGTTCTCATTTGAGTGTAAGTGCACGGTTTTGTACTGTCAACAGCAGCTACTGAAATAGCATTAAACAATAGCGTCTTGTGGACAACCCAGAAAATTTTGGTGGGCAAATTTGGTTGCTAAGTATTGGGGCTCACCATGAAGATGTAGAAGTATAGAGATTGATGTTGTGGCAGCTTGTTAAGATCTCTTACAAGGGGCATTTCAGTCTGGTATTCTTTTGTTACATTTAAGGTGATTGCTTTAAAAAGTATCGTCACTTGCAAGGAGTTGGCTCATCATCTATGCTTGTAAATTATAAAGTGAACAGTACCTCCCATCAGTTGACATTCCTACATTGTATGGGCCTGAAAATACGCCAAGCCTAAATAAAATACAATGATGGTATTGTTACCGATACTAGTGCGAGAAGAAGAAGTATACAAGTAAAGATAAGTTACAAATTTTAATTTCAGCCGACTACCATGAAAGGCATACACCTGATAATTCCCTTTTATTCAAAGGTTACTCAGGCTGAAGATGTTTCCACTCTTCATTAAGAAGAATGTACGAGTGTCTTGTCCAAGGGTGGCCTACCAGTAGTTCTGACCTCAAGTCTAACAGTTGCATGATATAACAAAAAAAATAAAAATGTGGCACCTCCTCTTAGGTCACATTAAGTAAAAAACTGTTCACTTCATTTTTTTGTTGTAGAATGACAAAAACGTGAGGGTCATCTATGGGATAATAATCCGTGATGTCACTGGCCGATGAAAAATGGTTTTAGACCTGCTGAGAGAGGGGTTGGTAACTGTTTGTTTTGTGGTTAAAATGAAACAGCATCCATAAATATGGAGTTGTTTTGGATGCAAACATAAATTGGAAGTCGGAAATATCACAAGTTGCAAATACAGTTGCAAAGTCAATCGGTATCATATTGAAGTGCAGTTTCTTTATTCCTAAAAAGTCTCTATGCATGCTAAAAGTGTCCTTAAGCGATTGTCATGTTGCCATGGCGCTGAAAAACTCAGTTCTAAACAAACTCACATTTCAATCAAAATAGCGACGCTATCTATTGCATC